ATGCATTGAAAGTTAAAAATATTATTTAAAATGAGAAAAAAATTAGCTAAACCATGATACAATGTGGCACCATTTCCATTTGTTCTCGTTTAAACGAAAATTTGTTGCTAAAACATGATACAAATTTAGCTAAAACATGATAAAACGTTTATGTTGTTGCTCTCGTTTAAATGTTTTTTTTTTTAATTTCAAAAAACATGTATGTTTAGTTAAAACGTTACAAAAATTAACAACGTAAATCATTTTTATAAAAATATTATAGAAGTGAGTTATTTTATCTTTGGGTTCATCACCGAGTGAGGAAGTGGTAAATTAAACTAGTAACGTGTTACATTTAAAAATGTTTAACTTAAATTAAAATAGTATGTTTTTAACCAAAAGAAGAAAAACTACAACAATAAGTTGCAATGCAGCTAGAATATATGAATTATTACATAGAAAATAATTTTCAAGGAATAATCATACGTACCTGCATGCGCCACAAGAGGTCGCTACTAGCTTTAACACGAAAACGGTCATCGTAGAAACTCCGGCGAGTTTCAACAACGGCTTGTCGTTCCTCCGGTGAGCCACCGTCAGGATCAAACACCCATGTTTGTCTTCCGGCGAAGTTGTTACTACTGAATAAGCACGGATCATCTCCGTTTCTTTCTCCTATCTTCAACCTCCACATTACAAAACTCTGATTCTCTTAAACATATCACACACACACACATATATAATATACTTATATGAGATATTTACGTGAGTTTGTTTTTTGCCAAAACATCGACAACCTACCAAGTTTATCTATCATAAATATTGGACTATAATTAAGTTTATCTACGGAGTTGTGCAAAACTAAATTGCTGCATTAGTTAAAGTACTTAAAAAGACTAAATAGTTAATGAAGGCACAGTGAGCTCCCAACCAATTGACTAGTCGCATAATTTATCATTAATATATATACAAATTAAGAAAAATTATTAGAATTATCAAAAAAAAGAAATGAATATTTGAATAAACACCGACAATAACATGCTACTTTCCGGATTTGGATGACTGAGTTAGAGACAGCGAATAGATTACTTGTTGGTGGAAAAGATTTTGGTTAATCTTGTATACGTACGGTACATATAAATATTATACAAATGAACATATAATATAAATGTGTGTATGGTATGTATTATAGTTACATTAGTTTGCTTCTTCAGTAGAAAACATCAACTACTTGAATATAAATAATATATAGCTTATAACAAAAGAGAGGCCATATGCGTGACCTTGTTGAGTTTGAGAAGTTATCATCAATCTATCTTCTTTGCCTTTTCAAGGATTTTCATATGGCAATGGAACTCGTCTCCTATACTCTGCGAGTGCCCACACCGGGAAAATGTTTCTGTACGCCGCGTAGTGTAACAAGCAATTCTTCATGAAAGCTCCTGTTATCTCCTGTCAAAATATACAATTTAGATTCTTCAAAAGTTATAAATTTAGGCCAAGGCAAGACCATGTGACTTGGAAGATTTAGCTAGCATCCATTCAAGCATTAGTCTTTCGAAATGAAGAATCATAGGC